TATCCATCGGTAATGCATCACGATGTGAGCGATGGAAGATGAAGAGGGAGAATGGTTGCGTTTGTTTATTGAATTTCAACAGATGTCGCCGATATGGTCTGTCACATTCACAGTCTCAGGGACCACGAGGAGACTGATCGACAGCTGATCTGGGCAGATCTTTCTTTATATAGCGCGTGATGTGTCGCTGTGGAGTTGAGATCCACAAGGATCTGAAGTCGTCTTTGAAGCAAGTTTCCTGTTGATTAGCTGGTGTAACCAGGTACAGGTAAAGACCTTGTCGATGCCTCTCCGGTATAAGCTTGGGTAACCAGCTGAGGAGAAACTCCCTGACAACCGGTTGATCACCTTGTCAAACAACAGTCTCTCCCTTCAAATGCAATAATTGACTTTCCAGTGTCACGTATGGCGGTTACTAACAAAACGACATTACGACGAATTTTAAACCTCGAATGACAGAAGATAGGCCTCTCATATTGTATATTCCATTCTCACTAGAAGAGCTGCTTGTTGCTCGTTTAGTTAGCGTTTGCGTATATCCTCTGGACAAAATGGAATACAATCGGCACTGCTCCCACGAAGCAAATCATCCTGATCAAGGGCTGACTATAACGAAAATGTTTCTAGAGGGATCTGCAAATTCATGGCAACCAGATCCTCAAGATTGTCCAGCCTGGTATGGATATATATATTCGGGAAGCACGTCGGAAAATTTGACTTCTCTGTACATCTTCAAACACAGGCAACCAGACATTGAATTAGACCGCCAGAATCTTTTAATAAACCCAATTATTTCCACTTTAAATCAACACTCGATTCCTCCCGCGTTCTGAATTCTGACTGATTTCGTCATTAATAGACACCAACCCCGCATGGCCCTATCCATCACTAAAGACAGGCAGTTTCCGACGTTGGTCTCTTGAAGTACTAGATCAGGTCTCCTACCAAATGCCACCGTTCTATGGCATACAAATATCTGGCTTAACTTAAGAGACTTACACAGATGTGAATTATAGCACCATGAGTGAAACCTCTCAAAGCAGTTGAGTCTCGCTGCGTCAAGCTCCATTGGCTTGGGTCCATAGGGATCGTTGTCCCTTCCTGCCCTTGCTTGTCGTTGCTGCTGGTACTGATGGTGTGATGGCCGGCCGTTGCCTCGTCGCCATCCTTCGATCTCTTGTTTTTCCATTTGTCGGTCGTAAAGGCGGTTGTCAATGCGTACGGCAACGTCGATGAGTTTTTCCATAGTATCCGGCCGGTCAATCCGCGCTAGCTCATCCTTGATATGGGGTTTCGATCCGTGGTCTTTCCTCTTGCTGCAGTTAACGCCATGATGTCTTTGCTTCATGGTTTGAAGACAGGGCGATCAATGTGTTACGCGTGGCCGACTAGCCACAGTGAGTAGAACGTCTGTGGGTAATACATACCAGGCTTCTACTATGGATCCCAAGAGTATCTTGCAACCATATCATTGCTATGTTAAGCCTTACATGGACTCAGGTCCTATTGAATATCTTGCAGGACGTGCCAGTTAGTGCACTAACTAGGTCAGTCACAGAGTAAGCTCCCCTACTTATAGGATGGGTTGGGTTGTCTTGAAGGTGAACTGTGAAGTGCAAAGTACCAAAGGTGGTATTCAAGTAACAATATGATTGATCGCGAAGAACTAAATACATGATAGTAAACGAGTGTCCTTATATATCCAGCCCTTCATGGGTCTGTGTCCTCTCCTAGGCAGTCCTGATTATACCTACCGTACGGTAGGTAGTTTCTGATAGCCTACTGACTGATCCAAGTTGATTGGTTATCAGTGTTCCTTCCCCCGAATTAGAGTGTCCAAGTTGATTGGTTATCAGTGTTCCTTCCCTGGCATTAGAGTATTGTGTCTGAGGACTTCATAACAGGAAGGCACAACAGTTATAACCATGGGATGATGATTTCTAAAGGGAGATACTGTGAGTCAGGCTATCCCTATATATATATAGTTAGTCTTCATTTTCCCTGTTATATTCCATAAAAGTCTTAGGAAGAAGATGGTTGCAGCATGATTTGATCCTATATATGCCAACAGTACATACCAAAGACTGCTTATTAGCCACCACGCTGACCAAAACATTCCAGTTTCCCATTATTATTTATAATAATATCATCTGTTCACTATTATTAATAACCATACTAGTACTGGTGATTAATATAGAGACTTACTTGTTTCAATTAAAGTCTCCTTATGGCCATCACAAGTGGCATGGAGTAAAGTGCCAGTCATATATGGATCCTTACAGTGATGATGAAAACCACCACTGTAGATATATGTTAGCAAGAGAGATCAAGTTAAGAAACATAATAAAAGAAGGAGGTAACTAGGTGAAGAGGGAGTAAAGAGGTATAGAGATGTAATTATAGATAGTAAAGGAGAGACCTTACTTAGCCTGGCCAATGAGGTTACTACCATCATAGGCAAAACATAAATCCATATTGATCCAGGTCTCATATGTTACAGCTCCATGAATGTCATCTGGGCACCAGGCATCAATGAACCAAGGCCGCTTAGGGTCAGGATTATAGTAAGTTGTTATATCGTTGCAATTATCTCCATAGCCTGCAACAACTTCAAGAGCAAAGTAGCTCAAAGTAAGGATTGGCAAATTGATGAAGTGCATAGTGTGGGTTGAAAGAAACCAAAAAGTCTTGTTATCAGTTAGTCAATGCAGATGAAGCAGTTGAATATTATTTTATAGGGGGGAATGCAGTGGCTTTTATAGAATTGAAGTTGAAGCTAATTTAAAAAATCAAATTACTGCATCCTTCCTTACCTCGCTAGGGGCATACAGTTCAGCAAGATCAAAGTTCGAGGGCTTGAATTATCGCCAAGAGAAAGTTCATCTATATGGATCTCATGGGATTTAAGACCTTGTTAAACTTTCTCTTGGCATATTTTAAGACCTTATTCAACTTTTATTAGGTTTGTATTTAACACCCGCTTATAATCTATAGACTAGGTGTAATATAGAAAAATCATCATATAGTAGGGATATCAATCCTACCATACTTAGAGATATATATTTTAATTTGAATCCCTACTATATGATGATTTCTCTATATTACACCTGGTCTATAGATTATAAGCAGGTGTTAAATAGTAAATACAAACCCAATAAAAGTTGAATAAGGTCTTAAAATATATAGATCTAACTTGAGACCTTGCTGAGCTAATATATCAGAAACATTTAATAAGGTCTTAAGGTTCAGGATACAGCTCAGCCGACCTTGACCTGTAGTCACCTACTCACCTTAAGGTTGCCCTACATCCCCCGAGACCTTGCTGAACTGTAACCCGTCTCACTAGCAAGAGATCTGTCACAGACTCGCGAATGGCAAAAATGACGCAGGTAATTTGCTCCGCTAGAGCCAGAGTCCTCACAGTCACTCCAGTAGGAGCAAGGCCAGCAGGTCATTAACTAGAACAGGGGAAAATTAACTACGGGGGAGGATTTGAGTCGTGAAGTGCGGCACAGATGGGTAGGGAAATCTCAGCTTCACAGTTCACCTAGCCATGATGTTTTTAGGTGCTTCATTATCTCCTCTTTCAGAGACTATGCGCATCCATTAGGGAATAGGGAGTTATGCTATTGCCTCTTCCATTACCTTAATCACTTATCTTAATAACATACTCTTTTCCATCAGGCCTTGGCCCATGCCTGCCTATTAGGCTCCTTAGCTAGTAAATACACCCAGAATCCTGGGGCATTTGACCTGATCAAACTCCGGGGCAGAAGATGGGGTGCATAATCTCTATGCCAGGATTAGAACTGTCTTCGGCAAGTTGAGTACTTGCGTCCGAATCACTCCGAGAATGTAATGGATTAAGTCTGGGGCAGAAGATGGGGTGCATAATCTCTATGCCAGGATTAGAACTGACTTCGGCAAGTTGCGTACTTGCGTCCGGATCGCTCCGAGAATGTAATGGATTAAGTTTGGGCTACGCCTTCGACCTGGGTGGTATAATCCTTTGTACATATGACATTGTCAATAGGTCACTCACGCATTACCACCCTAACATCATGGAAGGCCTTACATAGGTATATGAGGATGCCCCCTTGTCTGACATTGTAATGGAAGATAAGGATTAGTCTTGTTCTAATATGATCTACCTTCTATACTATTTTACTACATTGATACTTTAGTATATTATTACCAGTTCTTACTTAGTCAACAGGCTATCTACCCTGTTAAGTAGATCCTTACAGAGAACGCCCGTTTTTCTGAGGAGAATATTATTATAGGAAAAAGATAATATCAGGTACCTTATAGACTCCTAGAGGCCTATTTTATCTTTTTACTCTTTCTAGCTATAGGTAGAGTTGCATAACCAAACCATAAAATCAAATCCAACCCTTACTGAACTTGTAGCAGTGAGGGTTCAGTGCCTAGCCTAGAGAATTAGGGTAAAACTAATTTAAGTTTAGTTAAAACTATTAGTTATGGTTTTTATAGTTTTATTAGATTAGGTGAAACTACGGTACTAGTATCTATATAAGAGAATGAGGTATCAAATACATCAGCAGAGGCAGCTAGTGATAATAGTAATTTTTTTTAATATAGACTAATATTAGGAATAGCCTTAAAAATATGATTTCCTTCTAATTTGGTGGTTATGGTGTAATTGATGGTTACGGTGCGGCGCACCCTCAATACAGAAGCAGTGAGGGTGAGCCTAAGGCACAGGTATCCAATAACCACAGACCAATAATTCTTAACCGTTGGGTCTTGGCTGATAAACCCACCAATCAGCAACAGCAATTCTGGGCCATGGGTCAGGGTCTGCCCTCCTCTTGGATCATGCGGCTCAGGGGAACAAACTCTGTGTTTTGTGTCAGCATGATGTTGAAAATCGTCAGCAATCACGCTTAAACAACCAGTGGACAAATCTATCTACCAGTCTTTCATTCTCATCAGTATAGGAATAATATTCCCCTTCATCATCTCAACTCTCTGTCAGCATGCAATCTATCTTCTTTCTCCTCTTCCTCACATTCAGTGCTACCGTGCTGGCTAGCTCATCCACATCCTACAACAAATGGGTCAAGAGTCTTCCCTCATGCATGCAACCCTGCTTCAACGACTTCTTTACGAATCCTGCTCAAGGCAAATGCGGCAAAGGTGCCAGCACCAGCAGCAAGCCATCCGACATTAACTGCATCTGCCAATCAGGCAGTTTTACCTCGAGTAATGGGAATGCGCCGTCCATCGCCGACTGTGCATCGGCGCTATGCCCTGATGCAGCGTCTCAGTTGCAAACTGTCCTGGGTTCCTACACCCAGTTTTGTTTGAGTCAAGTCAATTCAGATGGATCCGTGCCAAGTCTAGGTATGTCGGTGCGATACCTGCCGTCGAGCATTGCTGATCTTTCTTAGGGAGCACTACGCCGGTGTCAGGCTTGGATGTGATCCTTGTGTCGGGCGGTATTACTCTTCTTCAATGTGTTTTATAGTTGTTTGTGCCCGTTGTGCATTTTTCTTGCTCTGTTCATACAATGCATAGTGATTAATCTATTGTTTGGGTATGGCTGTCTCCAACAATTTCCATTTCTTTAATTCCTTTGCGCATCTAAATAACCAGGCACTGCAATATGTCTGGTATTATGGCGTTTCTCTGTAATGAAATGCTCGCATCACGGCGCTGTCGAATGCTACAACCGACCACTAGAAGTAATTCTGCCATGCTGTCAATGTCCTCGAAATTACACTATAGGTCGGTATCGATGGACAATACGACGCCGTATATCCATCCCAGCGATCAGTGCGACTGAAGATGCCGAACATAGGATGAGGGGGGCTAAACTGAGCAAATCAGTTTTTTGTTCAAGGAAGTACATGTACATGCTCTATGCACTTGACCTGTCCCAGACAGGCTGTTGCGTAGATTTCACGTTCGCTTATAATAGCAAGGCAGATTACTCGCCCCCATTTTGAAAGCTTCTCCTCTTCTATCACCAATCAACACCGTTGAAGAAATAGCAAGGACGTAGAATAAGCTTCACGACTGCTGACAGTTGCAGATATAATTGCACAGCCACCCGCTTGGCAAGAGCGTGCCACGTTTACCGCCAGAGAGTTCCGATCGACAAGCACCTAGACAATCTCAACTTCTCAAGGCTAAGAAAAGGACCTGAAAGGCTGAAACAACATATCCAGCCCCAGAAACATCGTTCGGCCCCAAGCGGCCGCAAGCGGCCCCAGCCCCGCAGCTTTAGCGCTGATCGCCTGGCACAGCCCAAGCCAAGATTGCTTCGAAAGCTTAGTCGGTACGAGATGCTTGCTTTTCGCTTTAGGTTCGATACAAGGCTGAGATTTAGATCTCACCGTGAAAGTGGCCATGACCGTGACACGGCGTTCGGCTATTTTTATGACAGACAGCCTGACCAGGAAGCTATATAAGGAGGTCAATTCCGTTGCCTGACCATGCATCAGACAACTACAATCCACAGCCCTCCCGCATCTCCTCCAATATCAAACGTGATCATATCGAGTCAAAATGTGTCTCCTTATTCCTCTCTTCCTCGCCAAAAACAAACGAGCACAGCAGAAAGCGAGTGACTCTGACTACGCAAGACCTCGACCATCAATGAGAGAACAGCCTAGTTTACAAGGGATCAGAGAGCATTATCAGCCGTATTCGCATAATGGCGATAGACGAGCAAGAAGCAGCCGTTGAGCCACATCATCTGAGTATGTCTGTACCCCAATCCCTCGTCGGACTTTTTGCTAACAATGACCAAAGAGAGTTCGTCTCGAAGTGCTCGAATAATACCCTCGATATATGATTCAAGAATAGGCTGGGTGCGATGGACATTGGAGCTGGATGACCTTTGATTGATACAACGATTTGAATTGAATGCATTTTATCTGACATTCATTGATCTATGTTTACTTAGCATGAAATTGTTTCTACTGTGTTAACCATATACCTTGTCATTTCGTCCTCTCATTTCAAGATCCGCTTGTCTTCTGTTATTAGACTACAATGGCCAAAGAATTCTACTTCCTGGTGAAAAACAGAATCCCGTTTTCTGCTGTTGGACAACGTGGTAATGTCATCATTCATGTGGATTTAGTTTCCCCGATCAGACGCAGACTGCGGGATAAGAATGCCATGTCACCTACCATCACACTTTAAAAGGTAAAGACAGTCCCATGCATTCGAGTCATATCTCATTATCATACAATACATGATTTAAACAGTTCCAGTAGCAAGAACGTAGCCACCGTCAACCACAACAGTTTGCCCGTTCAGGTACTGGTTGCAGACGGCAAACAGAATAGCGCTGCCCATGTCTTCATCCTTGCCCGGTCTTCCAGCAGGAACCTTACCATCGTACTTCTCCTTGGGAAGGGAACTCTTCTGCTTCTCGTCGCTTTCATTGGCCGTCATTTCCGAGGGGAACACGCCTGGCGCGATGTTGTTGACCCGAATCTTCAGGTTGGAGGAGGCGATCTCATGCGCCAGCATCCTTGTAACATGGATGGCGGCCCCTTTGCTAGCGTTGTAGTGGAAGTGGTGTTGTGATGCCTTGATGATGCCTGAAATGGAGCTGATGTTGACGACGGTACTGGACCAGCCGTGTTCGATGTCGGTTCCTTTGTTCAACAACGGCAGGAAAGCAGCGGTGGTGAAATAGAGATGGGTTACATTGGTGCGGAAGATCTCATCCCACTCTTCGAAGGAGTTCGCCTCATCTTTGAAGAGCTTCTGGTGCAGTTCCTCGGCGCTCTGGCTGTCAGTGTCATGTTTCTGACCAGAGATGCCGGCATTGTTGACAAGAATGTGCAGTGCTTTTTCCTTGGACGAGATCTCGTCGACAAGCTTCTGGATGGATTGCTTGCTGGTGATATCGGCGGTGATGGGAATGATCTGTCCGGGAATGTTCTGCGAGTACAACTCTGCAACACGGTTGAGCTTTTCTCCCGTCCGGCCGGTGATGTATACTTTGGCACCGTTAACAGCCAGTGCCTGTGTGATCATGAGGCCGATTCCGGAACCACCGCCAGTGACGAGGGCAACTGTGCTGGTCAGTATCTATATCATGTGGATGATAGGAACAACATGCCTCGGCCCCTGACACTGAAGAGGTTTTCGAGCTTGAAACGCTGGTTCTGTTGCTGAGCGTCTGACATGTTGATTGTTTTCTATGCAATAGGTCTTGATTTGTGGAAATGTGGTGAGTGCGTTGTCGGTCGATCTTTGTTGATCCGGTTGGGACTGCCGTTGGCTCTATATAGTCGCAAACCTTCAAAAAGCCATGCATACTATCATCATGTTGGTGTAATTCGATGCATGGAAGCCAAAAACCTGGCTCAGTGGCGAGTCTAGATGCAACCGTGTGGAGAAGTTGAAACCGTTGAAGACTTCATCAGCATGACGTAGTTGTCAGATGGAGCAATGAGTCTCATATTGTATATTCCCTTAACATATTAGTAAACAAATATATCCATGAGGATCATAAATCACATCTTTTTGCTTTCATTGGTTGTACCGCAGACATTGATCGCATGATGGCATATCAGATCGATCTATGAAGGACTAATTAGCTGTACATGGCAGCTAGTACCTTAGTTGAATGCTCGACAACGAAGCATTGGAATTGAAGTAATTGATGATATATAATTAAACCATAGTCGTCTTAACATTTTATATGTTGTCTGTAGGCAGCATTCAGTGCCTATGTTTCGACATTCCATTGAATTAGCACAGCAGTCGAAGAGTAACTGTCAGATAAACTGGTTCCTAGCATGATCGAGATTAACACTCTACTATCTATAAATAACTGACCTTCCCTAATTTCACGGGCGACCCTGTGATAGGCCGACCCCGCCAGCTCAACATAAGGAGCCATCTCATTGAATGTAATACGTAGATTTCTAACTAATATAACCACAATAGAGGCTATAAAATTGATTAAAAATCTTTATAAAAAGGTGTGTATTCTATTGTATATGACTATATTAATATTATTACTTATTCCGACAGTATATTTATCCTATCCGTATATATAAAGTCCAGGTCTTATATATATTTCGAGTATACTGTATATAGTCTATAATATACTGAATATTACCCCTCAAATATGTAAAGTATAACCAAGAATTACTTATATAATAGTAAAGTCACAGGCTTCATAATTTCATAATAATAAAGATAATACTGGAAGCCTATTTCTGTGTACGTATTTCAGTACTAGATACTATTAACTTTAGGAGAAGCTACAGAATTTTTTCTCTTTATACTATATTGAGGTCCTAGTACTAAAGTTAGGTTTTATAAGTATCCAGGCTTATAGTGTTGAGATATCTACCTTTAAAATACAGGCTTTTATATGGGAAAATAGGCTTACGTTGAGGTGGAAGGGTCGGCTAGTATTGATCATATGTGTACAATTGATATCCATCAAATTAAAATAACAGTCATAATCCTTTGTTACCTAATATACAGTTGGTCATTTCTCAATTCTCATAACTTAATGGTCACCCAATCCCGTAGCATCCTTTGCCTTCTGGCCCCTGTTGCCCGACAAGTTAGCACCTGATCAGTTTTAGATTTCCTCCAGATGCGGGGGACATACATGGTCTGAGTGCTGCTACCATGGACCTGGTCGTCCTTCTCGCCACGCATGGAATCGTAGGCCTGCTGGGAGTACGACTTCTGGCTGTCGCCCTGCGCGCTGCCGGTGAGACGGTCGCTAGCGTCGGTGACAGTCTCCTTCACCTTGTCCCAAGTGGACTTTTGGGAATCCGGAGTGATCTCCTCCTTAGCCTCTGTAGCGGAGTTAGAACCCATCTGTTGCTTAGGGGGTTGTGAAGAAACATACTGCTAGAGAAATCCTTGCGGCCGGTGTCAGACATGTTGATAGTAGTGTTGGTTTGAAACGTAAAAGTTGTGTTTGGATTGACTTCTGTGAAATGCTTCTTGATTTGATGATCTGTTCTGCAATGAGAAGACGACTACTGAAAAAGTACCCTTCTTATATGTCTCCGGATGCAATCGACCATCAACCAGGTAGAGAGCAAGACGTCATTGCATGTGACACGGCTTGATCAGGGATAGAGCAGACAATGGCTGAGTTCATGAACCATGACTTTTCCGGGGAAGGACATTGTTGGGCTGCATCTTGCCACTTGATGTGAGGGGTGAGAATGGTCGATCTGATGATTCCCGACGTCACTATGATCCTCGGCAAGTGCTGTAGATCCCCGATAACTTTAACCTAGCTTCCCTGCAGGGGCCCAGTTACTCATATGTCATTCGATCTACATTTCTATCCTCGATCGGGTACGAGATATGTGTACCTTGACAAAGTACCTGCTCATTGCAAAGAAGAAACATATCCAACCCCTTCTAGAACTCCTAATACGTCTAGGGACGCTATTGCCTCAATATGGCTCAATTCGACTACTATTATGTATTCAATGACGTCACAATTTCTGGGTATCCCAA